TGTAATAACTAATTTCTCTGTTTCTATAATTTCTCTATACACTTTCACTTTTTTTCACATTAGATGTTTAATTTGTTTTGCGTCATGAAAACTGTCCTGAATGGCATCAGTGAATGTTGTGGTGTCGTGTGAACACCTGCTGGAGGCTCAGATCTCCGCTGACATGTGTCTCTGATGGCCGTCGTCACACCCTTACTGTGTGTGTGTGTGTGTCTGTGTCTGTGAGAGTGTGTGTGTGTGTGTGTGTGTGTCAAGTCAAGTCAAGTCAAGTTTATTTGTACAGCGCTTTTCACGATACAAATCATTGCAAAGCAACACCGCATTACAATAGTCCAGTCTAGAGGTCATGAATGCATGAACTAGCTTTTCTGCATCAGAAACAGGTAATATGTTTCGTAACATAGCAATGTTTCTAAGATGGAAGAATAGAGTAAAACAATGGTAATGTGTGTGAATAGAGTATTAGTAATGTAAGCGAGATTAGCGGCAACCACGCTGGCAATGCTAGCGGGCTATTTGCTAACGTGAACTACAGGTCACAGGTGAGACCTTCACACCCACATGCACCTGCACGCCTCACGCTCGACCTTTGACCCTCTGACCTCTGGTCTCTGTGCAGATCTTCCCCGATGAGGGTCATGATGTCATCAGCAGACGCTACACGCTGCACTCACTCGTCTCCTTCTACAGAGAGTGTTTTGCTGACAATCTACCTGTTCCCATGGAAACCAGTGATGACGACTAACATCATTTATGCCGATCTGACCTGAACACAGAGACAGAGAGATCGTTGAGTCTGAGGACACGCTCCAAATACTCATTTGATTTGTTATTTGTATTTTTCATCATTTGTCCACACTAGCATTCCATCTGTATTTAGCAGCAGCGTGACTGATGTCATTAAAACCATCAAGTATTATGGACTGAACTGATCTACAGATTAGGTTCAGGTAATTATAACAATCTTACCAGTCTGAGCTTCCACTGAATCACGAGTCCTCTGGTTTTCTGAGCTCTTTCTTATCCTCTTTTATCAGCCATCCTATGAGCTCCAAACGAGGAAGACTGTAAACATCAGCGAGGCATTCTGTCAGATTATGCTGATTTCTTATTTCATCTGCGTTCAGGAGAATTCACTCAAACTCTCAGCCCGACAGTTTGCTGTTTGTTAGCATGAGAAACTCTTCTACTACTGCAATCCGTCACAATATAAGCTATTATATATATAAATGTTATTATTGGGGAAAACTGCTGTGAAAAGCATTCATTTTCTGTCTTTTTTTCCCCTTCAAATTATAGCCTTAAAATCTGCACTTTTATGACCTGAACAAATAAAATAAATACTACAACAAACAAAAACATATCCACAGGTGTATATAGCAATATATCATTAATACAGAATCGATTCAACTAGTAAAACTAACAACCTGTTTTTGTTTTTAGAAAAATTTGGGTAATACATTTTACAGTTAAAGAGCTACACGGTTAGTCTGCATAAACAGAAATTAAATAAAACTCTCACTCGAGTACGTTGTGTCAAGACTTTAAAAAGTAATGTTTTTTTCTGTCACTGTATATGTTCACGTATATCCAGTGTGGGCACCAGCATATATTATTTAACTGAATATTAAGAATTTGTCAATTTAACTTTAACTGCTAAAATCAAGGGTAACACTTTATTTTGATGGTCCCTTTTGAGCATTCTGTTGACAATAAGTAAATTAGCACCTATGTAGCGTCTGGACCAATCAAACACACAATATATATTTTGTTAGCTATATTTAACAAATACTCTGTAACACCCCTCAGTTAACAAGCCATATGAGGACCTATGGACCCTTCCCCCGAAATGCGTAACACCCCAGGAAAGCCGAATAGGCCCCTGGTCCCCATGGCAACTAATGCTGATACCACTGGTTTTATGACCCAGAGGAATGTGAGCAGGGAAAATCACTGCCTTTTCCATAGGAAGAGACACAGTGCACAGTAGAAATGGACTCTTCCCTAATTAATCCATAGGAAAACTTTTCTTTGAATGAACACACATATCCTTCAGGTCACTGTGTATGTTGTCTTTGAGATTTTATACTGTTTTATGCAGGCTTATGATGGAACCACTCATTCCTGTCATCATACCTATATGTAATCCTACCATGTTTAGTATCTATGAATTCGCCTTCTGATGATCTAAACGAGCGTGTATATTATATGTTGGTACATAGGCAATATATTAGTGTCCTGAGAATCTTTAGTAATTTCGATTCAAGTTCCATTTGCAAATTACCATGCCCTCACACAAAGGGTCGTAAAACCCTCCAGCAATTGCCACCTCCCGCTTGGAATTTCAGCCTTTCTCATTGGACAAGCCCATCTTGAGAGGCGTGAATCTTCTCAGACCTCTCTATCCCCGTCACTCCTGGTTTCACTTCCTGTTGATGCTATCACCTCCTCTTTGGATTCAGTTCGGTGGGTCCCTCACCACATACTTTGGTTTTACTTGTGTTATTGTTTATTTTTATTTCGACTTTAGTCTACCTATCTTTGATTTTATTGCATTTATTTACATTTGTAATACACATAATTACTGTGTACAGTAAGAAAGTTATTTCCCTTAACCAGGAAATTAACGTTCTTAGAATTGACAGACAGTTGACCCTGAGAGGTCAAGTAAATATCTACAGCGGATCTAAATATTTATAATTAATTATAACTAGTTATGATTAATTATTCATATTTCCCATGAGCTGATTCGCTACACCTACATGTCAACTAACTCACATTAAAGTATTAGTAGACTGTCTGCTTAATATCTGTTAACTCTTTATTGTTATGGTCTCCCAACAGACACTCTACTGACTATACATTTCAACTTCTTCTAACCCTAACCCTACCAGTCTACTAATACTCTACTAACACTCTAATGAGAGCTAGTAGATATGTAAGAGAAATATTACTTACAGTCAACAGAATGTGTTAAAGGGACCATCAAAATAAAGTGAAACCAAATCAAGTGTTTCAAACTTCAAATACAGAAACACACAGTCAAATACAGAATCAGCCGACGTTTCTGATCGGCTACAAGCTCAACACAGTTATATCACATACATATATTTGACACTTCATTAGTAAGTGTCACAGGTTCGGTAGGTCACAGGTCTGTCAAACACCGAGAGGCTCCTGTCTCTCAGAATCCATTAGACAGAACACACACATACATGTGCTGGTCTTCACGTTTAATGCTGCTAACATCAGCCAAAAAATATATGATCATTAGACAGAACAAAACTCAACCTGAAAACCCTTTCTACAAAATATTACTGCTATATGTGTGGACATTCAATAAAGTATGCAGTCAGTCTTATAGTCACAAAGAGTTTTGTCACTTTCTGCAGAGATGACTTTTTCAGACACTACAGGTGAATGGGGTCAAACACGAACAGATATAACATTTCCCCCATTAATCACAGTACAAGTTTTATGAAATTCTGCTCAAATAAGCATATGAGACATATTTCTCATTAAATATGCACTAATTTGCATACATTTCCAGAACATAATTCTGAAGACTGGATAAAGCCAGGTTTAAATTCTTGTTTGATTTTGTTGACAGAGTTAAAGGTTTTTACAGAGGATTTTGGATTTCTCTTTTTTTTCTCTTTTAATCAGGAAAAAAAATACATTTTCATCATATTTTTAGGAATAAAATGTTACATAAATCAGATTAATATTATGAAACCTTAAGAAAAATAAATGGAAAGTTTGTTACTGTATTACTGTGATGTGAGAGCTTGTCACTACAAAACACTCTGAGTGATAGTTTTTGGGTTGCTTTTTTGTGTATTCTTATGCGGTCACATTCTGTTGATAGATAAAAAATGTAATGATTTCCACTAAACTGAAGTTACAATGCATTCCCACATGTGAACTAAATACTTACAGAAACTCCGGTCAGGAATAATGGTTGGATTATCAGTGAGCTCATGTTTCCCCGACAGACTTCAATCCATCAGATAAACATAAATGATGAACTCCACAATTATTAAGCAATGAATCAACAATGAACTGACTTTAACTGAAAAACTGACTGTTTACTATTGTTCTCTTTTTAGAGCTGCTTTACAGCAGAATTGATTTTTGTTTGCATTATTGACATGTTTTTCCAGTTTAACACTGTGAAACTGCTTTGACACAAGCTGTATTGTAGTAAGCGCTATAGAAATAAAGGTGACTGGACTTGATATACATGACAACAAAGCATTTTAAAATGATTTTTGTTTGCATTATGTGTATAACAGAGTTCATAGTGAATCATTTTCAGCACCAAACCCATGTAAATGTGTCCTGTAAATGTTCTTACTGCCACTGGCTGGAAATTCAGCAATCCTGTCATGATATGAACTACTTGACATGCCAAATTAAGCATTTTAGTGGCTCGGTATTCATTCATGTTTTCAGGGCTGTTGGGGAACCACGAACGAGTTACAGGGAAGTGTTTTTTGATATGTGCTTATGAGCTTGAGAAAGGTCACTAAGAAAGAAGGTCAGACAGTTTTAGAGCAGCACCAGGGTGGGTAAATAACGAATGAACTGCCATTTTCAGTTATGTTCAATAGCACATCTTTACCTGTAGCGCAGCAGTTAATGGAGACACCTGACGCTTGTATGACAGGGCTCCTGATCCAACAATCCTGTCAACTATAATGATAAACATCCAAAACACTTCAAATCAAAGAGTGTCTCAACTGACAGACCAATAACTGAGCTGAAGTATGTGGCATTCATTAACTCCACGCCATTCATGAACGTTTTCTCATAATTGTGCTGTTGACGTGACTGTGCCGTTCTGATGTTTGCGGTCCTTCCTGCTGACGGTGTGACCGCATGCGATCAGATGAAGCACAGGGACTCTGATGGTAAAATATAGCACATCAAAATGAAATTGTGTTGTTTTTGGACTAGTTGTTTATTTATAGACATGACTGTCATAATTAGAGCCCAACCACCAGCATCAGTAAAACTAAACGGTCAGCGATACAAATAAACTGATCCAAAACAGTCTGTGAGCGGATCTGCTGGATGAATGTCCAAAAATACATCTGTACGCCCTCTTCTGTCCTAAATACAGCAGCACCATCCCAGAATGCACTGCACACACACACACAGTGAGCGTCAGGCACGTGTGCTGTCGAGACCTTGCTCTCTTCACACAGATCCTCCAGCTTTCCATGGATGGAATTACGCTTCTTCCCAGCGAGTGGAGAAATGCAATCAAACGCAGCTCCTCTGAAGGGCGACAACATACCGACAGACAGAAAGTGGCAAAAGAAGTGAAGCAAAGCAAAAGGACCATGCAATGGCTGACTGGAGCAGCTCCACCTGACAGTCTGTGCTGTGATTGGCCAATGCATCAGCCAATCAGAAATCTTAGTGATTTATGATATGTGAAATATTCCAATCCATTTCCAGCGATAATGATCCATATGCCAGAAAATCTCTCTCTCACGCACGCACACACACACACACACACACACACACACACACACACGGCTCTAATGCTACATTCATCCTAACGGTTACACACATGCATATATACATGTTCACACACACACACACACTCTCACTCACTCCTGGCTCTCTCTGTTTATCTGAGTGTTCTGCTCTGGATGTTTGTCCAGTGTGTTTCATTGTCCCAATGTGTGTGTGTGTGTGTATGTGTGTGTGTGTCAGTGTCTGCACGTGTTTGTGTGATGTGTCTCATCTTCACTCTACTCTTCCTCTTCCTCCTCCTCCTCACTGATGGAAAGCACTTCCTCCTGCAGGCAGGATCTGAAGTAGCTGCTCAGTGTTGAAGCCATGTGTCGGTCACTGCTCTTGGAGAGGAAATGACCCTCGTCTGGATAAATCTGAAAAACAACCATCCAGAAAATGATCAGACACTAGACTACAGTCAAGCATCAATAAACAAAGAGTGTCTGCTGCTGAAAAACACAACACCAGTGACGCTGTGCGTGGACAGTCAAGTCTATCTGCAGTGTTCACATGTTCAGTACCTGCAGTGTGTAATTCACTCCCACCTTCACCAGGTTCTTAATGAGCTCGGCCGTGTGCTGGAAATGAACATTTGCTGCAGGAAATACCAGCAGAATTAGGATTTTTAAAAACTGGCTCAATGAGTAAAAAAAGAGCACAAAGAGTAATGCAATCAAATGATCCGCTAACCCATCTAATAACACCTCAAGTATTGAAAAATAGTTACAAGACAAACAAGCAAGAATGCAAATATTCCACACACACACACACACACACACACACACACACATACACTCACTCACTCAGGTCTCACTGACCGTCTGCAGTGGCGTGCAGCAGCATGAGCGTCTGGTCTCTGAAACCCTGTGGATTCTGCAGCACACTGGAGAACTAGAGACACACAGTCTGTCACTAACATCTCAAACACATTCCAGCAGAGTCTGAGTCCATAACAACTAACCAGCACTAACCTGATATCTGTTGTCATCCTGAAGAGGGAAACCCAAATAGCGTTCAGAGAAGGCCGAGGCTGAGAGAGAGAGATCAGATTCACTCTCAGAACCACCAAATCACGGGTCTGAAACTACACATCAGTGTGAACCCTTACTCAATCACAATCACATCAGTAACTTACCATACAAATTCCAGTCCGTCACAGGCGACATAGCTCCTGCGCATTTAAACAAGCTCTCAGTGGATTTAATCAGCAGAAGTGAGATATATCCTCCATAACCCTGCAGAAAGACGCAAACACACAGGTTTATATGTCCGATGAATGTGGACTGTGAAGGTTTTCATCAGTTTTTCTTCCATTACAGCAGCCACGTGTGAGATTGAGTCTTACCCGACCAAACACACCGATCCTGGTTCTATCAATGTATGGCAATTTCAGCAGGTACCTGGAACAAAAGCACAACTCTGTTAGCATGTTTCACAACCGTGTGTGTGTAGATAACCCAAACAGAGCATGAGAGTAAGTAAATGAGGACATAAACGTCATTTTTTTTGAGCAACTGATAGAAGGAAAAAAGCAGGTAAACGTCCTTACTCAACAGCAGCCAGCTGATCCTGCAGTTCCACGGATCCCAGACGCCTGTGCACTTCCTGTAACACCTTCTGACCCTGGAAGCCACTTCCCCTGCCGTCCAGACGAGCTACGATGACATTGTCTGAACTGACCAGCACTGAGTCCCAGTCCAGTGAGTAACGGTCATTCACCTGCTGACCACCGGGGGCGGTATCACTGATAAGCACAGAGAAAATACAGAGAAAATACTGATTAAACAGTCCAGTCCAGGACTGCTCATGCACCTGCTGACCAGCGGGGGCAGCATCACTGACACAGATAAAAAACACATCAGTTTATCGTCACTTCCCTTTTGAGGGAGCTTCGAACTGCGTTCTCTAGGGGTCGCTATGGGGAACGCCTTCAGCATGACCGGTGTCTGAAGCATACATCTAAAAACGACAATAACATTGGCAGGCGACAACATATGACGTCATTACCCTGTGCGATCACAGTATAAAAAGGCGCTGGGATAACAAGTCATCCTCTTCTTCGTCTTCACTGACCGTTTGTTTATGTTAGTGTTAAACTAAGCACGACAGGAGTGCATGTTCTCTCGCCAGAGGCTTTGCTCTGATACCTGCAGCTTCACACGGCTCGCGTGTGAATCATGAGTTTTGATTTGAATCATGAGACTCAATTCAGGTTGAGTTTTGTTCTGTCTAATGATCATATATTTTTTGGCTGATGTTAGCAGCATTAAACGTGAAGACCAGCACATGTATGTGTGTGTTCTGTCTAATGGATTCTGAGAGACAGGAGCCTCTCGGTGTTTGACAGACCTGTGACCTACCGAACCTGTGACACTTACTAATGTAGTGTCAAATATATGTATGTAATATGACTGTGTTGAGCTTGTAGTCGATCAGAAACGTCGACTGATTCTGCAGTATGTGTGTGGTGAAGAGCATGTGCATTCAGCTCTTGAGGGAGCTGGATGCGCTCTGCATTCGTTGCTTATTTCTTGTGAGGGATAAGCATGAATTGAATGCGCTCATCTCACGAGGAGACGGCTTATGCTCATCGTGATGCATTTGCGGGACTACTGAGGGGGAGGTGAGTACTTCACCATTTACCCGAGTTTGTAGATAGCGTTTGCATGAGTGCGTTTGCCTCTCGCGGTAATAGCGACGCATTTGCGGCAGCGGTTTCCATTCTCGCTTGATTTCCGATGTAATCTAGTGTTTGAGTGGAGCGTGTTTAGCTCGCATGGGAGTTGAATGCATGCTGTGCGTTGCGGTCGCGGTGACAACATGGAAAGGACCTGATGGGAAATTTCTCCCTATCAGTAACTTCCTTTTGTTTATATAGGAAGTGTATAGTGTGGATCTGTCTGCAGTTCTTGGAGAGATGATTTATATCATGTTCTTCTCAGATAACCACATTATACTGCACTCCGGCTTGAAGTTAACCAAAAAATTAAAAATCCTCCTGCCCTGCATATGATGAGCTGCTTGAGGTTATGGATCGCGCCATGGCGAGGCTTGACTTGCCGTGGAAGCGGGCCAAGAAAGTGACGCCTCGAGGCTACCTCGATGAGCATTTTCTTTCTAGCCATAGCCCTCCAGCTCAGATGAGCCTTCCATTCCTTCCCGATCTTCATGTGGAGATCGAGATGGTTTGGAAAAATCCATTCTCGTCCCGCATCCACAGATTCCAACATAATAGTTATGCCAACATCGAGGGGATGCGTGAGAATGGTTATGAAAAGATGCCCCCTGTTGAAGAGACACTGGCCTGCTATCTCTCTATGGGTGAGACATCTTCTCTTAAGGCTCCCTCCCTGCCATCCAAACCCCTTCAGGATACATCTCGTTTGAATGGCAGGGCATACGCGGCAGCAGGTCAGGCTGCAGCCTCGTTGCACACCATGGAGGTGCTTCAGGCTTATTAGGCTGATCTGCTGAGAGACTGGATAAAGGCCAGGGTCTATCCCCTGATGAGGTGGCTGAGTTGCGTCGCACCACGGATCTTGCTCTCCATGCCACTAAGCAGGCCGCCACTGCCATTGGCAGATCCATGGTTACGGAGAGACATCTGTGGGGGTGAGTCTGGTGGATATCGGGTCGAAAGAAAAGGGCTTTCTTCTTGATGCACCGGTTTCCCCTTCTGAGCTTTTCGGCACTTCCGTCGAGACGGTGGTCGTGAAGTTTAATGAGGCCAAGACGCACTCGGCTGCCTTTAAATCCTTCATTCCACGAATGTCCAGGGTTCGGACTTCACCTCCAGCCTATATCCATGAGCCTGAGTCATGCGCGGGAGCCATGGTTGGTGAGTACGATCCATTTTCATCTACTCTACTGCCAGTTCTTGTGTATTCGATGCTAGCCTTTCTCTGCAGCGCTACTTGGACCTGTTCTGTTTTCTGACTTTTAGGTTTGAAAAAAACCCACCTACTAAGTCAGGACCTCCTGCTGTTGACCGATTACAGTGATGATTTCACTCATCAGTTCTGGATCCAAGCTGTTGATAGCCGTCATCTTTGGCTTGGAAACGCAGCCTGGGCTTCTGAGGAAGCCTCCCAGCATCAGGTCCCCAGTATAACGCTGCAACCTCTGAACCTGTGGTTCCTTCTCGTGGGCTAGTACTCTTCTGAGTACATGCTTTGTGACATGCTCCCTATCCTCTGGCCAGGGTGCGCTACTCATTTCTCACCCTGAGGGGTCTCCCGAGGTTTGAGTCGCTCCTTAACCTTCATGCACGCTCTCTGAGCTAGAGCTCCTCTCGCTGAGGCTTTGAGGAGTTTAATGCTCCATAGACGGTCGGGCCTGTGGGTCCTCACTGTCACACTGCCCTTATGGTTGAACCAGTAATCACCCCTCTGCGGAGTGGGCTAGAGTACACTGCGTTCCCTGAGGTAAGAGGGATTTGTGTTTCTGTGGAAACCCCTCTTTTGTGCTTTTGCTCTGAGGAGCAGTAAGCTCTATACGCATGAATGGTCATTGGGTCACGCTATTTCTTCAGATTCTATCGGGTCTGGTTATACAGGACCCACACTCTCTATTGAGATAGAGATCATGTGACTGTGTCCAGCTGCACCAGTGGACTGTCTCTTATTGGTCCCTGCTGGGTTACCCCTTCTAATCTAGCGCCCTGTTCTGGTTGAGCTGAGAAGTGCTCCCCTCTCTGTGAGGGTTAGCTATGAGTCGCTCCTAGTATGTGCTGTAAGGGCCCGCCTCAGCTTGAGAGCCGAGAGTGCTGCTCCCGAAGGACCCCATTTGCAACAAACTAAGTGTTAGGCCCGTCTCTGTCGCCTCCTTGGTCAGTTGCCTTTATGTTGGGACCCTGTTGTTCCCTTAGAAATATGTGATCCCCCTTCTAGCAGGATCCTATTTCTGATGTCCCATTTGCAATCTATCTTCCCCGGACATGGCTGTGCTCCCCTCACTGCGGGAGGGTCCCTTTAAACTCGCCGGTCCTGGGCAGGCTGGTTGAGTCCTCCTCTCGACTCGAGAGTTAGATCCTCTACCCTGGGCTATTGGTTGCTTCGGGTCGAGCTGGGTTCCTCTCTCTCCTCACTAGGGGTTGAACCCTCCGCTCTTGAGCTCCATGGCAGTGACATCAGGTGGTTGGCCCGCTTGCTGCTTCCTGATAAGCTTTCTCTATTCGGGTCAAGCCAGGCAGTGCTCCCCTCACCTCAGAGGGTTGTCTTTGAGCCTGCCGCTCCCGTCTGAGCGTTTGTGGTCTGTGAGCAGATGCTTCGGAATCTGTTCTGTGAGCGTGCCACAGTCACATAGGGCCCCTAGACTGGCTTAATACAGCCTCGGTTACCCCTTAAGCAATGGTGTTTCTAAATCCATGCTATCGTAAGTGCACATGCTAAGCCTCTGTGCACTTTCTAAAATCCACATTGAGGTAAGTGTGCACGCTAAGCATTCTGCGCACTTTCTAAAATCCTGTATGGTAAGGGTTACGCGCTGTTAGCCTCGTTCCCTTTCTCTGAGTTGGCTTAGGCCCCGGATCTCGCCTTGGGCTCCACTCAACTAATGTATCTCTGTTGATACATTTCTGAGCAGGGTGTTGCCTACCAAAGATCTGTCGAGTCAGTTCTTTGAGCAGGCTTATTCAGAACCGGTGGTAGCCCCCCCTGGGTGACAGGCCAGGGTCTGGTGTGGTTTTTAGACACCTGGCCGTATCCCCTTAAAGGAATCTCTTTCTTCTGATTCCAAGCCTTGAGCTCTGCCCTAGGCTTGGACTTTCCAGCCCAGCCACTATCAGGTAAATTGTTTAGGGTATGCAGCTCAGGCCCTTGGCCGGAGGGGATAATGTCACTGACAGCCGTCAAGGTGTCCTAGGGCCAACTCCCATGGCTATGGTAGAGTTGGTACGTAGTGCTCGCTGTGGTTTTCTGGCATGCACTCCCCTCAGCATGGTGGCGTGGGTATACCATTCCCCATAGCGACCCCTAGAGGACGCAGTTCGAAGTTCCCTCGAAAGGGAACGTCTCAGGTTACTTATGTAACCATGGTTCCCTGAGAAGGGAACGAGACACTGCGTCCTCTAGTTTCCTTGCCATGCTTCGGACGCAAGCTTCAGACGAAGAAGCGGATGACGTGTTATACCAGCGCCCTTTTATACTGTGATCACGCAGGGTAATGATGTCATAGGCTGTCGTCGGCCAGTGTTATTGTCGTTTTAAGATGTATGCTTCAGACACGAGTATAAAAGGGCGCTGGTTAAAAGGGCTAAAAGGGTGTCTCGTTCCCTTCTCAGGGAACCATGGTTACATACGTAACCTGAGACGTTTTATGTGCATTCAGCTTTCATGATGTACTTCTGATCTGAAATAACGTACCTCTCCTGGTTCTGGTCAAGTGTGTTTGCAGCGCCTTTGAAATTCAGCCTGAGAAACGTGTAACACCATTTCTACTCACAAAGAGTCGTTAAGTGGACATTTCAATTTAAAAATCCTCCTTATCTGCACATCACAGGGTTTTAGGAGAACAGTGAAGGGAGTCTGTGCTGTTTGAGTGACTACTCAAGACACCCCATGAACCGATGCAGAGATGACAGATCTAATAGCACCAAATGAACAAAACCTCTATCCGTTGTAAGTAGAGCATAGAGAAATTTGTGAAAGTAGTCCACGAACATTTCCAAAAAACATGATATGATGGCAGATTTATTTTTGCTTGCAACTGACTTTTTGTGGTTTAGGGAAAACAGCCAGTCAAAATCGTTGCATCACTGCTGTACAGTTCTGATGATGCAGCAATATCTGTTATTTATTCTAAAAGAGTCTCAGTGTGCCGTTCAGATGATTTAGTGGAGAAAATCAAAGATAGAAATACTGCAGGTGCTCCTGAAAATGTTAAAGAAACGTTCAGTTCAGTTTCTAAATGGCGTGACATGCAGAGAATGAGCAAAGGTCAGGACTCAGCATCCGGATGTGGTGAGGCTGACACACAGTGTTTCAGTGATCTGGATGAAGGACAATGTCTGCTTGAGGGAATCGAGTTCATCCTGACCGTGTCCTTCATTGACTTTTATGTTCAAGCAAAACAGAGCAATTTTGTAATGCTCCAGTCTAGGGCTGCCCCCTAATAGTTGACTAACATTTAGTCGATGAGAAGAGGCTTGGTCGACCAAAATTTTATTGGTTGCTTAGTCGCAGAAAAAAAAATCCACGGTTAGTAGTGAGGTCACGCAGTCCGTGACGGACAGATTGTTAACGGCTGGATTTTGTGGTAATACAGTATATCCAAACGCTCGCCTATCATACATTGACCTCAAATATGGCTTATCATCTGAAATATGTAAGTAGTAGCAACTTTACATGGCCGCTCAATCTAATGTTAACCTAAAGAAATGTACGCTATTCAAGTGTCTGAACAGTAGCGCTCACAGCAGGACAGATGGAGGCGCCGGTGCGCTCACTTGCTCTTAAAATACTTCGTCATTTTTGTCATACAGATAACAGTAATACATCTTTCAAATCTGTAAAGCCTCTACGTTTATGTGTGTGCACTCACTATAACAAAAAAACATTGCGATTTTGTAAAATAATGAAAGCAAACAGGATGTGCTTTCTGCCGTCTCGGTCTCTGTGAACTTGAGCGCGAAACTGTGTATACTTACCTTACAGACATGAAAAATATATCTATAGAGAGTGAAATGTCTACTTTCAAATGAAAAAATTCAAATCTGAAAAAACAAATAGCTTATTCTCAGATTATGTAATCCGTATGAAACTTGCATGCAGGCGCATCCACTACAGTGGAGATGACAAGTCACTGTCGCTGATTTCATCTCTTAAGCCGAAATCACAGAAAATACTAGTTTATCAGTAGGTTATTAAAATGTTAATGCAGTTTAATCTTACTGTTTTTCCCTGACACATTCATCATCATTACTTCTGCCGGTGTGCTGTGGCAAACTTTATGCATTCGCTTGAGCGCTTATTAGGCAATGTAGTCTGTGACGAGAGGGGCGGGGCCGAGAGCCGTGGGAACGGAGCGAGGCCGGTGGAGTAATTGATAATGAGCGACACCTGCACCACTCACCGGTCTCGAGTCTCACGGAGGAGCTCCGGAAGGATAAAAAGGAGGAGTGACGACAGTGAAAGACGAGAGAGGACCAGGCCTGGACTTTATTTTTTCTTTTTTTTTTTTTTTTTTTACGCTCAAAGAAAACTTTAATAATAAAATAAACACAAACTAGCGCGACAGCCCCTCACGGATGACTGTCGTGCACAAACAGAACCCAAAACACAAAATAAAGTCCAGGCCTGGTCCTCTCTCGTCTTTCACTGTCGTCACTCCTCCTTTTTATCCTTCCGGAGCTCCTCCGTGAGACTCGAGACCGGTGAGTGGTGCAGGTGTCGCTCATTATCAATTACTCCACCGGCCTCGCTCCATTCCCATGGCTCTCGGCCCCGCCCCTCTCGTCACATAGGCAATTAAAGGCTACATGCCTTTTAAATTGATTAATAAATGTGCGATTAGTCGACCAATGCTTAAAATTAATGACTACTAGTCGACGAGAAAAATCTTTAGTCGAGGGCAGCCCTAGTCCAGTCATATGGTGTATTTCTGTCAGGCCTCCACACAGAATATGATAAACCTGAAAACCAGCAACATATTAATGTGATCCTCAGAGCGCAAATTAACGCTTTGAACTACAAACTGCCTTCATCTTCAACAGACCTCCACCCCACACACACACAAACACAGATCTTCTTACATCATCAGCAGAAGGGCGTAAGTGCGGGACTCAGAGAAATCGGGTGGATAGGCGACCTTCAGCGGCAATTCTGCAAAAACACATGAAGAATAGACCGAAGTTCTATCAAATATCTTCAAAGGCATTAAAGTATGTTTCACTACAGGAGATCCAGCACTTCCAATGCTTCACACAGTCTGCCGAAGCTGCTGAAATATGTTTATCAGCTGAATGGAGCAGTACGTTACCGAAGTGGTCGGTCTGGATGCTTCTGTACTCCAGCAGCTGGATTCGTTTGTATCTGAGAGCAGCTTTGAGCACAGAGTTATTCTCCAGGATGTAATAATCTGACGAGAGATCAACAGCACAAGGCGTAATTCAACACTGAATTTTTAACGTAGGACATGGTGGACAGATGTATAGAAGGATAAATGAAAATAATAAATACTCACTGGCAGTGTTCAGAGAGTGTATCATCACTGTCGGCGCTCCTGGACCTGCAGGAAAACCAAACACTTTAACCACAACCTGTGCTAGTTTGGACAGCGGGGTGAAAGGTCACTCATCAGGACTGCGGACTGTCATGTGGGAGTAAATAATAATTGGTCTTCATACCTTTGCAGTGCAGTAGGACGTGTTGATTAGTGGGGCTAAAAATAGCACTGAAGAATGTGCAGTGAGCTTTATTCAGCTCACAGGTCAGACATCGCCATGGAAACAAGCCTACTGTGGACACACTGCACACAGAACGGACCAATCAGAGGCCCGGCTTCCTGTCAAACTTATCTGAACTCACATTACTATTACACACGACCGTCGTCAGAGGGACGCTCATTACAGTTTTTCTCGATTGCTAACACACTATAACTGATTCATTTGGCCCAATTTTCCAAACCATTCAAACAGTTCTCGAAACAAAGACATGTTTCTCAAAACTTTTAACACATTTCACCTGTTTGCAGCATAATTTTGCACAGGTTTAACCATGTTCTCATTTAGAAAACACAAACACACAATATAACTACCTCAAGAATCACAAAATGAACACAAACAGCACACATTTATCCATGTGTGAACATTCAGTAGAAAAACTGATGACACACAGGTCAGAATCTCAGGATGATATGAACAAGAGCACAGCTGATTATGAGTATGAATCCTGATAGTGGGAGACAAAGAGGAAGAGGAGGGTAAAATAAAAACAAAGGGAATGGGGTCAAAGGTCATTAGTTCCTGATGAAATACAAAGCATTTTGACTGAAGTGTGTCATTTTGCAAACAATCTAGGAATTATGCAAATTGAGTGTGGTGTTTGGATAATTGTGCTTATATTGTGAAAAAAAGAACCCGGTTTTCAAAATTGCGTGTAAACAATTGAAAAAAACTGTAAACAATACACATAAAATATAATTACAGTACATAGCAGCAGTGCTTCAGATGAGAGAACTTTCATAATTCTATGTACAGTAAATACTGTAGCACATGTTGTACAGTACACCCTCAAACTCATTACTGTTGGACTGATTTGTAGACAAGTATGTACTGTATTTGTGCAAAACTGAGAGATGGCTGTCTAAGGGAGG